AAACAGGGTTCGATTCTCGGATCTCATAGGCGTTTTTGCCATAGAGTCTGCAGTGAGATGGAATCAAATTACGCGCTTTCCACTTACCAGAGAGAGGTGTCGATTGTTTGGCTGTGGAGTGTGATGTGTAAGGGTTCACGTGTGTAATGTGTGTGGCGGTGTAGGTGGGTTAGTGGTGTTTGACTGCGGGTTTTCTTGGACGCCCTCATCGCCAAGTAGGCCCATGCGGCGACGACTGGGTGTGCGTATGTAGTGCAGTCGCCTGAGGCGAATGTGACGGGTGTGTGCAACCTTAGGGAATCCCCGTCTACCGTACATCGACGCATTCCCCGCGTTAATATACCTAAATCATTAAATGTCATAGTCCGGAAAATTGCCAACTACCGGGATAACTCTGTCCTCTCTAAGACCGAGTGTCACCGGAAAAAAAGCTCCTTAATAATCCGTATCTTTTCAAAAATAAATTCATACTAATATCAGCGTAGATTTCTGCTGTTCGGCCCGAAATAAACATCTAAGGTGAATATAGCGTGCTGACCAAACCCAAATCTTACTCTCCCATAATCTGCTAGATGAGCAAGTGTATGGATAGTTCTTTGGAAAGCCCATGTGAAATTTAATTTCTTAAGGCCCCAACGGCACTATATTTCAATATAACTTCCGATGGATAGACTTTCTTCGGTGGCACTGATGCAGTTCACCTTTTAGACTCTGGTTCCTGGGTTGCACGTGGAGTTTTTTTATATACAGGGTGTCCCAAAAAATGTATACACATTTTAAATAGTTGTAAACTTGGTGTTTATTGTAATTTATTATTTCAAAAACTTAAAAGTATTTAGAAGTATCATTTTATTGTTTTTTCAATGCATGTTCACAAACTGACGCCGTTTTGATCCAGACACAGCTAACAACGCAAAGCAATGGAATCGCACACACCATAAAACAATTTCATTCGTATTTGGGCGCACTGGTGTTCAATGGGTTCTCTTTCTCAATTATTTAAAATATAGTCAAAACGCCGTGGAAAAGCAATAAAATTATACTTCGGAATACTTCTGCATTTTTTAAATTATAAAATTATGGTAAACGTCAAGGTTACAATTCTTCAAAATATGTATACATCTTTTTGGACACCCTGTATTTGCCCTTATTCAGAATATCTGCTCTCGCTAATAAGCTTCAAGCTCACGGTATACTGATCTTTGTTTCTATCCCTTTAGCCCACACTCCTGACAATTCCTTTCTGGGTTTCGTTGTTGAGCAGGGATCCAAAACAGTAGGAAACTTTAAACCAGTCAACGGAAAACCGATTGCCCTTATTTACGCCAAAAAGAACTACATGTTGGAGGTCAGTACAAACCTTTTTCTCCTTGTAAATTTCCCTATCGTTTTTTGTCAACCTTTTCCTTCCATTGTTTCACTTAGGACGAAATGCTGTCCTTTCTAGTTTTGCGTCTGCCTATGATCAGATTTCTTATATACTTTAGATGATCGAAGACAGTCTTTTTATTCAGAAAACACCTTACACTCTTTAGTTAATTTGCAAGGCCGACGCGTTTGATCGTGCAATTTCCTCCTATTATTAACTTTATGCAAGCACTTGCACAAAATTACAAAAATATAGGCGATTTCTTCGTAAACGGAATTACGCATTCGAGCAAATACCAGCACATTATCGTGTATTCCTTGGTGTTGGGCTATTTTACATGAAATTTAGTCTTGCAACAGTGCTTCTTATAAATGTATTAAGCTCCGACACGTATTTCGGGTTTGATGGACGCCCGGCAGGGGTAATTGCATTGCCTTTCAAGTGCTTCAATATCTGCC